GATGAGACAATCTCATATTCTGTTATTCACTCAACAAACATTTTTGAGGTCCAGCCATAGGCCAGGCATCATTGTAGGTACTGGGGATACCCATGAACCAGACGAAGGCCCTGGCCTTGTAGAGATGGTAGTTAGCTGGAGGAAGGTGAAGCGTGCCCCACACAAATGAGGACAGAATGTGTTTATGGTGAGTGATCAGTGCTGTGAAAAGGTTTGGGGTGTTGTGAATTAGATCTGTGGGGTGAGGGCTGAATGTCAGGGCAGAAGTGTCTGTGTCGCAGCTGAAGGTCAGAGGATGTCTTTGGAGGGTGACTTCTAAACTGAGGCCCCAAAGATGCAGTGCCCAAGGCAGAGGTATAAGAAGACCAGGAGGCTACAAGGTGGCTAGAGCCAGGGGTGGAAGGGGAAAGGGGGAGATGCCACCAGGCAGGTGGGAAGGGCCAGCCTGGGGCCATCATCTTAGCTTTCTGTTGCTTCTGCCACATTTGGTGGCTTCAAGGAGCGAGTGTGTGTCACAGGCCCCCAGGTCTCTCCTGAGACAAGCCATCGGCCATGGCTGTGGCCACTGGAAGGCTGACTGGGCCTTTCTAGTTGGCTGCTGGCAGGTGTTTCTATGTTCTTACAACACGGTGCTGGTGCCCAGAGCTCGGCATCCAGGAGAGCGAGGGAGAAGCCACAGGTCTTTTATGACCTAGCCCAGAAGCCACGCCCACCCCCTGCACAATCTCCGCCTTACACCGTGGGAGGGGCGGCCCGGAGGAGAAGCCTCCAGACAGGAACCGGGCCTGTGGCCATGGCAGTCGCTGTGTGGTGCAGAGACTGCACTGTCTTCCAGGAGGGTGGGGAAGCTCTGCACAGTGTTTGGTCGGCCTGGGCACTTGCATGACGCATGTGAGCAGCGGCAAGATGCTAGTAATGGTAGCCACCGTTGCTGGGCGCTTACTGTGTACCACAGGCAGCAGCATCGGACCTTCCTGTCTCCCTCACAGGAATTAGACGTCCATGGCCGGAACTTTCCCTGAAGATGCAAGGGTAGCCTGGTGAAGGTCCAGAGTGAGGGAAGACGGGAGAATGGGGCAGGGGCGCTCCAGGAATCTGAACTCCTGGCATCAGAGGTGGGTGCGGGGAGTGGAGAGCTACTGGGACAGGGTAGGTGTTCCAGGCCTGTGTTGGACACACTGGGATCCGTTGGGATCCAACACTGGGATGTGTCCTGGGCTCCCAGTGCCAGGACTTGATGATGGGTCAAATGTCCCCCGAGATTACAAAGTGTAGAAAAGGCCATGTGGGCCATGCAGGGGACGCAGACCCCAGGAGACAGACGGGTGTCCTATCAGGGCCACTCGGGAGGAGACACGGCGAGCCCAGGCAAGGCGGCGGTGCGGGGCAGAGAGGATTTTAAGGCGCTCTCTAGATGCTCGCAGCTGGGAGATGCGTAGGGCATGGCCACAGAAGGCAGGAAAGTGTCTCCCCATTTAGGGCCCACACGGGGGTTCCCGCTTCGCGACCACTCACTGCGGGCCCCTGGACACCACAGCGTCCTCCTCAACCAAGCGGGAGGCAAGGACCTGCCTCGCTCGTGTCCCTTCCCCCATCCCTACCACTCTGGTCGAGCCAGGCCTGGCCAGCAGGTAGGTCTTTGGTGGGCATTTTTCAGAGCACTTGTGAAAAATGCTTGAGAGCCAGTGTAGCTTCGTGGGCACCAACATGGGTTCTGGCGCCAGAGGGCTGGGGTTCAAATCCCACTGCTGCCACTGACTGACTGTGTCTTTCAGGGCTCCTCTGTGCTGGAGTTTCCTCCTGGTAAAATGATCATTGCAGACTGTTTTGAGGGTTCAGTGAATGAATGCCCCTCACGTAGCAAGTGCTCAATAAACGTTGATTGTTATCCTAGTTGGGTCAGTAAACCTTGTAGCGCTGGGATGCATATATGTGTGTCGGCCCCACTTCTTGGATTGGAGACATGGAAATCCAGACCAGCCCTCAAGTGCCATCCGCGTGTCAGCTGGAAAGTGGTCGGCAATCGAGGGGGCCGGCAGGTGCAGAGGTGACACATGGGCTCTGCATGCAGCGAAGGGGCCAGCGAGGTGTCCCAACTCAGCCCCGGTCACCTTCTATGTGAACCAATGACTTGGGGCAGCCTGGTGAGGGGCGTCTTGCATAAGAGGCTGTCGGAGGGGAGAACATCTAATTACAGTTTCCCTGGGTGACCCGGCTCTCGCTCAACCCAGAGTCCCTGCCGCCTCCTGGACGCCTCTCCCCGTGGCCACCTGGACACCTTCTATTTGCTTTGATTCTGTTCCTCTTCTGCATTTTCCTCACATGCTGGCGAATCCCCACTCCAGCTGAGAGCCTCTATTTTTGGGAGTTTTCGTGGATAATTTAGTGGGCGGAAGCTCTCCACCCACCCCCCTCGGAGCATCCCTTAGAAAAAAGGAGAGGGCTCCAGAGCAGTGAAAAACAGTGGGTGGTTCAGTTCAAAAGGACAAAATATTTCTTGCCCTGGCACTGGGAGAGGAAAGAAATTGTCTGAGGAGCTGAAGAACAGCTCAACTGAAGAGCCCAGGCTGCAGCTCATGAGGGCAAATTAGGTGAGTCAGCTGCATGGCTTCGGCTCCAGCCCCTGTAGTATTAATGTGCTTTAAAAGGGAAAAACGCTTCGCTGTGACAAAGACCGGGCTCCATAAAAATGTGGCTAATGCCGATTCTGCTCGGTTCCAAGAGGCGGCCCCGCTCCGCAGCTCCGGGCACCTGTGGAGATGGGAATGCAGCTCAAAGGCCTGCGCTTGGGTGGGACCGAGTCTAAAATTATCCCCGATAATGAGTCTGCCAGAGGAGCCCAGCAAGCCTGCTTTCTCCTCCCTTCTGGCCTCTAAGACCTCGGCTCTAAGCAGGGCCTCAGGGAGGCAGGGGCTGTAGGGCCAAGAACAAGGGATTTGTTGCCAGACTTGAGTTCAACTCTGGGCCGGCTGTGTACGGGCCGTGTGAATAGCAATTCTGGGCCTCAGTTTGCTCATCTGTAAATGGGGCTTATAACACCAAGCTCTGGAGGCGACGGAAGGAGCTCAGTCTTGCAAGGGCGCTTGCTGCAGGCCTGGCCACCCAGCCATTGTTTAATGAAGGGAAGGGAGAGAGGGAGGCACGAAGACAGAATCAGACAAGCTTGCGCGGGGCTTAGTCACTACTCACGCCCTGACCGTGGGAAGGGCTTTCTTTTTATTAAGGATTTGTATTTTTAGCATTTATTAGATGCCTTGCTGTTCTGAGCACTTCAATTAAATAAGCTCATCTGATTCCCACGTCAGTTCAGTGCGGAAAGTGGTGATAGCGTCCCCATTTCGCAGATGATGTGGTCTAGTGACAGTCTTGTTCTCCAGCCGGTGCCATACATTGCCTCGCCACTTGTCCAAGCCAGGGCTGCCAGGCAAACCTGCAGCATGGCGGAAACGCTTCATTTTGTGCTACCCAAGTCGGCAATCATCAGACACCTCCTGTGGCTTCGATGCGCTGGCCGTGTGGCTTGTGTGACCTTTCACTTTTACTGTATGAGGGACTGAACACAGGGCTTTCACGCTGAGCTGTGTCCCCAGCCCCTTTTTTAAAATCCTGAAATTTTGAGACAGGGTCTTACTAAGTTGTCCAGGCTAGCCTTGCACTTGTGGTTCTCCTGCCTCAGCCTCCCAGAGTGCTGAGATATGCATGTGTAGTACTGTGCCTGTCTGATTTTTACATTGAATTGTGAATTAATTTGCATTGTAATAATCATGCATGCCTCGTGGCAACCATGATGCAACACAGGTCTGACCCCACCCAGACTCAGAGCGTTACTTCACAAGGGGGTCAGGAGCAGGCATGCAGGCGTGTGACCAAACCCAGGACCAGCACACAGTAGGCACTAAGTCAGGGGCTGCTATTCGTAGTATGCCTGAGTGCTGTAAACTGTCTTTGGAAGTCATGTGTGGATAGTGACAGAAGAAAGTTGAGTTTCCCTCATACCTAGGATGACCATCTTGTCCTAACTTGCTTGGGGCTTTTTTAGCTTTAAACCTAACAGTCCTATATATGGGACCCCCTGCATCCCAGGCTACCATGTCGCCCTTTCTCGCTTTGGGTCAAGGGGCCTCAGGGCCTGGGCTTTGACTCCACTGAGCAGAATTCCCTCCACCCCCTCGCACGCTACACGCCCACGTTTGCTAACTAACCCAATAGGCAAACCGCCTGCTCGGTATGGGCCTCAGTTTCCCCCTGCTTTTAGGCTGTCTGCAGGAAAGGCAGCAGGACTTCCTTTCATCCCTTGGCGCACAGTAGGAGGACAGATAATGGCTGGAGGCCGCCCTGGTTGGGGCAGCCTCGGAAGAGCGTCTGGGGGGGGGGCATGGCTTTCTCAGGCCCGGTTCTAGTGGCTTGGGGGACCCAGTGGTTATGTGTGACAGTGGCCCAGCAAGGCCACCACGGGCCAAGTGTGGAAAACAGAGTGGTCCCACGGAGCAAGCCAAGTGCCTCTGGTGCCTCCTGAAGTTCAAGTCTCTCTGCGAGGGGTCGGGGGCGGGATGAGTCACCCCGTGGTTGCTACCCACAGTTTCATTTGAGCTCACAACAGTATCTGAAATGTGCATTTTCAAAGCTGGCTTTATCCAGGGACGCAGAACTGCCCCCTCGGCATGCAGGTGAATAGGCAAGCCCCGCGGCAGCCAGCAACAGCGTCTTGCCAGCTGTGTGGCCCCCGCCCCCCTGGCCTTCCGGGGTCTGCGGCCCCTCGATGGCCGCCACGCGCGTGGCACCCCACGGGTGTTCTGGAGCCTGCGAAGTCCGCGACATCCCTTCCCTTTATTTTCCTGTTTATCCAGAGCGTGTGTAAACACATGGGTTGCCTGGTTTCGGCGTCTCTTTGGCCATTTCGTTTTTGCTGGAGCCTCTGAGCCTCACTGGAAACCTTGGATTTTCTAAATGAATCTAAAAATAAACTCTTTGAAAAAAAAAAAATTCTTGAAGTTGGATAGTTGACACAGGCACTATTATTTATTTCTTTTCCTTCCTCCTCCTCCTCCTCCTCCTCACCATCCCGAACACCCAAACATCTGGGCAGCCAGAGGCCGTGAAGGGACTGGGCCTCCGCAGCCTGCTGCTTTGTACCGAGGGGCGCTTTCTCCGAGGGGCGCCCGCTTGGAAAGCGGGGAACCCGGGAGTCTTAGGCATGATTTATTAAGAGCTGCTGCAGGAAGGCGGTGGCCGCGCGATCCCTGCCCACCGCGGCCCGGAGCTGGTGCAGGGCCGCCCCACCCCCTGCGCCCCGCGGTCTCCCGCTTCGCTCCCTCTCCCGGACTTCTCTCGCGAACAATCAGGGACTTGTGCTGGCGGCCGAAGGAGCCACGGCGCTGGCTGGCCGCGGAGGAGGCGACGTCATGGATTCCTGAGTGTGAAGTTTGCAGGAAAGCCCTCAGTTTTGGAGATGGACGGGATCCAGTGGTTTCCATGGCGCTGGGTAAACAGGAGGAAACAGTGAGGGAATCCCGTTATTTTACTGCATTGAACGCCTATAAACACGGAGCGCGGGGAAGGAAGTCGCGTTGCCTCAGGAGTACTCCGAGCGCGGAGCCGCGCCGCGCCG